TTTCCTGTCTGTTGTGTTAGAAAGGATGAATACAAACGCTTGACTCAGTTACCTGCGTTTTATTAGAAATAAAACGAAATTAGAAAATAATTTATTGTTTAATTTCCACTTTACAGTGATGTCCTACTGGAATATTAGATATGAAAAAAAAAATCATGTAATGTTCAAGGTTTACCTGGCAAACATCAGCTGTCTTGTAAAACGTTTTCTTGTCGACTGTTTTGAGAGACTCGATCATGCAAGGCAGGTCCACCAATTTACAGGCCAGAGGGACACGATCTACCCTCACTATGCCATGACGACCATCCGCTAAAAAAAAAAGAGACCAAAACAAGCAAGTGATTAAAGAGTCTTCGTTTTTTGCTAACCTCTATTTAGATGGCTGAGGCAACAATATATATATATTAACTTAATATATATAATATATATATTAACTCTCCTAACTTAAAACAAAATGTGTAGACACACAAATATATCGCAACATATTGGATGATTTTAATGGATTGCTGTGAAATTATGCGAGCTAATTCTAAAAATGAACAAATTAATTTTTGATACCCAAAATTTAACCATGAATTTTCAAAACTAAATTGAATTCGCACAAACAAACGTCTATAACAAATAAATGTGACAAAGGACAGACAGAAAAAATCTGATGCAAAGACAGAGAAAACACTGAAACACATGATCAAATCTCAAAAAGAAGTTTGTAAAAAAAAAATTAATAAATGTTTTAACCTTTTAGTTAAAACATCATTATACAAAATATGAAGTTTGAATTTTAGACTTTGAAAGATACATTTGAACTGCTTTCGTCTTACTGGAATCAAAAAAGCTTTAAATTAATAAAAAAAAATACGATGCATAAACATTTTTTCTAGTACATATAGAGTCAAAAATATATTTATACAGAATGATATATAAAAAACAACTTTATATTGGGACATTTTTTTTAATATTTCTCAAAGTAATAAGTGAGATTGTGTAATAATCCTGAGACATTTGTTGGTCCTTCATTTGATGACCACTGGTAAAGTTTATTATAAGTGGTTGGTGTCCTTCCATTAACCTGCATTGTAACTATAGTCCAGATTTGTCTGATAGGGTTGAGGAAATGGATTCCTCTGGAGGCTTAATGCTGTTCTGCTTTGTTCAGACCAAAACCACTGCCAGTCACACTAGTGGAAAGCATCTCAATTAAGAGGACAGGAATTCCAGGTACTGGTACTTAAAAGCACACAACAATGTCAAACAAACTAAAGCTTATTCTGAAAAAAAAAAAAAACCCAAAGTAGAATATCCTTAGCCCAACCACAGCCTGACTGAATATTTATGGGCCGTGCTTTAAAGCTATCTAAATGGTAGAAAACAAAACCAATTTTAACAGCTTTTTATCAAAAATGGTCTAACATCCAGTACAAATAATGCCAAGTGTTTGTAAATGACTACAGGAGGAATCTTCTAATTCTAGTTAAGATGTTTTGAAGATTTCTATTATATACGTTTACAAGAACACAGATGTCGTGTAAAAACTCCATCCATCCATTTTCTGTCATGCTTCATCCATGCTGGGGTCAGGAGGGGTGCTGGTGCCTATCTCCAGCTGTCTACAGGCGAGAGGCGGGGTACACCCTGGACAGGTCGCCAGTCCGTCGCAGAGTAACACAGAGACACACAGGACAAAGAACCATTCACGCACACACTCACACATAAGGAGAGAAGCCAATTAACCTAACAGTCATGTTTTTGGACTGTGGGAGGAAGCTGGAGTACCCGAAGAGAACCCACGCATTCACAGGGAGAACATGCAAACTCTATGTGAAAGATGCCCGGCCGAGAATTAAACCTGGAACGCAAACTGCTTTTAAAAATAATGGTCCAAATGCATCCTTTAAAATGCCAAAACCAAATATTCCTTCCCACGATGGCTGCATGTAAACCTCCAATCCGCAAGACGTTAAGTAGGAGAAATGTTATGATTAGATTAAATATGATCAGTAGCCTAATAGAGAGGTTACATGGGTCACTTCAAACACAGTAACATAACGACTGATGAGGCAGCCTACAGTGCAGCTCGATTGTCAGTCTGTCTTTCATGTTCATACTGCTGGACTGTGCTATCCTTCTTACTGTTGAGGCATACTCCTGAAAAAAAAAAATAGAAAGGGAATTTGTAACACTTCAATAACAAAGTATACCATAAATTCAATATATTTTCTAATAAACAACGGTCTCACCGAAGGAAGCCTTAGAACAAATTGGCTCTCCAGTTCATAAGGAGCATCCTCTTTGTTCTTGGAGCCGACCTTCCCCACTAGGATGGAAAATGTAAAATTAGAAACAGCTCTGGTGTAATTCAATTTGTTTACTAAGCATTTATCATTAGGAGAATAAAATTCAAAACAGCATCTTCACGTTAAACATATATCTACATCTACAGTTGCGTTAGAAAACCGCAGAGTAAATAATAGTTAATAAAAAGAAAGATCTATATGATACGGAAGAAGATTAGGGCCACTGAAAAAAATTAAAAAGTTAACTGATTTTTAAGTTTTATTTCAGTATAATATGAGATCTTGGGATCTTGTTCACGAATGAGGGAAGGGAGCGGGAGATTGACAGGCGGATTGGTGCAGCGTCTGCCGTGAAGCTGGCGCTGTACCGGTCCGTCGAGGTGAAGAGAGAGCTGAGTCAAAAAGCGAAGCTCTCGATTTACCGGTCGATCTACGTTCCTACCCTCATCTATGGTCATGAACTCTGGGTCATGACCGAAAGAACGAGATCGCGGATACAAGCGGCCGAAATGGGTTTCCTCCGTAGGGTGGCTGGGCTCTCCCTTAGAGATAGGGTGAGAAGCTCGGTCATCCGGGAGGGACTCGGAGTAGAGCCGCTGCTCCTCCACGTCGAGAGGAGCCAGTTGAGGTGGCTTGGGCATCTGTTTAGGATGCCTCCTGGACGCCTCCCTGGTGAGGTGTTCCGGGCACGTCCCACCGGGGGGGAGGCCCCGGGGAAGACCCAGGACACGCTGGAGAGACTATGTTTCTCGGCTGGCCTGGGAACGCCTTGGGGTTCCTCCTGAAGAGCTGGAAGTCTGGGCCTCCCTTCTTAAGCTGCTGCCCCCGCGATCCGACACCGGATAAGCGGAGGAAGATGTATGGATGGATGGATGGATAATATGAGAAAAAAGTCAGAATTCTGACTTTAATCTCTGAATTCTGACAGCTAAAAAACATATTCGCATCAAGCCATAGCCATGTCCGTTTTATAGACTAGCTCTCTTGTTTGTCACCTTCTGCTCTTCCATTAATGAAATAGCATCACCAGGGACCCCTTGGGCACATAAAAAGTCGCCTAATTCCCTAATTTTCCACCAATATGTCAGAATACTAAGAAAAATGGTCAGAATTCTGAGGGGAAAAAAAGTCAATATTATGAGATTAAAGTCAGTATTCTGAGAAAAATAGAATTCTGAGAATAAAGTCGGAATTCTGAGATTAAAGTCAGAATTCTGAGATTAAAGTCAGAATTCTGACAAAAAAAGGGTCAGAATTCTGAGATTAAAGTCAGGATTTTGAGATTAAAGTCAGAATTCTGAGATTAAAGTCAGAATTGTGAGATTAAAGTCAAAATTCCCAGAAAAATCCCGTATTAAACTGAAATAATATTTAAAAATCAGTTAACTTTTTCAGTGTCCCTAATCCTCTTCCGTAATATGATCATTCCTGCTTTCAGGTTTTGTTTACAAGGCAAAGATAGCGGAGAAACGTAGCAACCTGAATTCCTATGAGCTGTAACATCAGTGCAATGTATTGTTAGGTCTTTTTGTATCATAAAATATAATACACCTAAAATATCCAACTTTACTGCACATGTTTACATTAATTCCTGTATTACAGATGTGATTAATTCAACAAAATAGGAAGTAGTGGGTAATGTTAGCAAACCAGGCTAAAGAAAAACTGCTCACCTTTAATTTTAGAAGTCATATCTAGCTTCGTAATTTACGACGCGGAGTTGAAACGATGTATAAATCTGCAAAGTACAATATAAAGCAAACGTAAACACAATGATTTAGACGACAAAACTAGGTTATTGTCTAACCACGTAAATTAGCAGCGAACCGCGGATTGACGCCTTCCTTATGCTGCATTCAGGTACTCCTCGGATTTGTTGTAGTTCGATTTTTACTGCTGTTTCTTTATCTTCTTTAAATTTCACTGTAAACCATCATTATTTTCAAAAATCAATAATAATTCGTGCATTTTGGTAAAAATCAACAGAAACTTTTGATTATAATTGCACAGGTTAGATTAAGAGTTATTATAATATAACATTATTTCCACACAGAATTGCTTTTAGTTGTACATTAACAAACAATAAATTTGATTTAATATTTCAGTTTCACCTTTTCAGTAATTTGTTTGGTATAGAGAAAGAGTGTCTGATGTTTTAAGGGAGACGTTTTTTTTCTACACGAAACAAAATACGGAACCTTTTCAAACGTACAAAAAAACCAAAGACTCCAAACGTCGCATTTCGTTCGTATCGCGAGAGTTCCCACTCTGTTTTACCATTTTTGATTTAAAAAAACCGTCTTTAACATGGTCGCGAACATTTTAATTGTTTTAATCTTAAAGGTATAATTTCTTTCACGAGAAATTAGTCGAAATATATGCCTAGATATTAAAACTAAATAAATTACTGTTGGCTTCACTTCCTGTCAAAGAGGAAACAGTTTGAAGATTTCAAAAGAAAAGTTCAACTATTTAAATTTTCAGTAATTAACTCCATTAAATATTCCAAAACTCATGAATTGGAGGGCTCTGTATTATTAAACAGTGTTTTTTTAATTATTTGTTTATTTGTTAGTGATTAGTTCACTGTATTTATTTTTAAATATGGCAGAGTTAGTCCTTCATAAATCAGAGGGGAGCTTTTAATATGAAATTAAGTTGACCCTTTCAGGGGGAAAAAAAAGTATTTTTCCATTTCCGGGTTGAAACTGTTCCTGTCGTCTCTTCTGCTGTCATCTCTTACCTCAGTCCGTGACTCATATTTGACTATTATTCTTCTTTTTTTTCCTACGACGACGTTGACCATATGAGAAAACAGCCGTTAGGTTGATAAAAAATGAGCGCGGGTGGGAGTTTTAGGACGCTGCGGCTGCTGGTTATGGTGAGCCTGTGTGTGTTCATCAGCTTCTCAGCAGCAGCAGCATCATCATCTCCTGCTCAGGAGAAGGACAGTGCCATGGAGAACATCGTTACAGAGAAGAAGGCTGAGGAGAGTCACAGACAGGACAGCGCAGACCTGCTCATCTTCATCCTGCTCCTCACCCTCACTATCCTCACTATCTGGCTCTTCAAGCACCGGCGCTTCAGGTTTCTGCATGAAACCGGACTGGCCATGATTTACGGTGAGAGAGAGAGAGAGACACCATCAGAGCTTATGAATCTGAGGATCAGATGTCAAACCGCATGCTGCTTATTAAACCATGGCTCCTTTTAGAAAGAAACTGGTTGATGCATAGCAGGTGATCCTCTGTTCCCCTTTCTAGCATTAAAAGTATTTCACTTCCCCTCTGCACAATAAAACTGCTAACATTTGATTGATAAAAAGAGTAATTTACCTGATCAGTCATGCACTAACTACTAATTACTTATTTAGATCAGAAATATATCCTTTTTCAGTCCTGATGTTAAGAATTAGGTAAACTAAGTACAAATTGTGAACAAATATTCCATTTATACCAATTACTCATTCATTTAAGTTCTAATTCTTAAAGTAATGTTGATCTTTATATACAATTTAAATTAAAATAAATTGATTTCTGCCTTACTTTTTTAATGAAATGCACAAGAAATTCTTTAAGATTTACCAGCAATCGGAACATAACCATAAATACTATTAAGTATTAATTAAGCAAGTATTTGCAAAACTCTTGTATCTTAAGGTCTCAGTTAGCTTTCTGCAATGTGGGTTTTTTTTAGACATGCATTCCAGATCTGCTATCTAAAAAATGTCCTCCCATTCCAATGTTTATAGTTTTTATCTGTCCAGTCATTGGTTTATGATTTGTGTATTTCTTCACCATCAGCCCTTACTCCGTCTTCTTCCTCCCAATCGGCATCCTCCTTTAGTTATTTCTGCAGTTTTCACATCTTGCTGAACCTTGTCTCCTTAGAAATATCTCCTCAATGTTCAAGGTAAACTTCTGAGTTTATTTTTCTAACTTTCAATCAGAGAACTCTGAAAATTTGAGTCTGGAAAATTATGGTATTTTGACTTGGATAAAGGTGTAGATAACTTTGGTTTGGGTGATGTGTAAAGCTGTACAGTTTGAGTCAGTGAAACTTCCGCACTGTGAAAAATATATCACTATAAATGCCTACAGCTGGTAGTTTAAAGTGGCCTGAATGAAAACAAAATATTGACTGAACTCAATAGATTGAATAATTAAAAAAAACTCAGTGAATCAGGAAGATCTAAGAAGAAAAAAAGTAGATTAATGCTAACTAGAAGTGTTGTTCAGCAATCTAAAAAATTTCAGTTCCATTATGATCAGTTGAAATTATTATATTTAAGTGCAACTTAAGAAAATATATTGGTTAGTGTGTCATTTTAAGGAAACAGCTGAAACAACATCGCCACTGTACACAGCTGAGATCATTTTCATCACCAAGGGTTTAAAAGGCAATAACAAAGAAAGAGGCTCCTGCTCCAGATCCAATCAGCAGCTGGCCAAATGACCAATCCCTCTGAGGAGATTGAGGCATTTTTTTTACAAGAAGTATGATGTGTGCATTGAATACGAGACATTCAGACCTAAGAACATTGTACCTGCTGTTTAACAAGGCAGCTAATCTATTTGCAGCGGTACTTCAGCGTTGGAAAGAGTCGGTGGAAATATGAAAAAGAATCATTACCTCCAGATTCTTCGGCCTCACTTTAAATAAACAGAGGGTTGGAACACTGACACATATGGTTTCTTTGATCTAAAACCGGCAGTAAAAATAGGTTTGGAAAAGATAAAGCTGGCAAATATTAGCAAATATTATTAATATTAGATTAAAAAATCAACCTTATTTAGGCAGAAAGTTTTTAAAGGGATAAATAAGTGTGATCAAGACTAGACGGGCTAATGAGCATTTGATGAGGATGTCTGGATTATTTTAGATTCTATGTAGATTTCTAACACTAGATTAGAGAAAAACTAAATTTTTGCACCAGATTTATGTCTTTTGTTTCCTGTTGCATGCTTTCCACCCTGGGAAATAACAATGCATCTGACTAGAACTGTAGCTAATTGTTCATTTTGTTTATTTGCATGAGCTTTACTTTTATTAGGCTTTAAAACTTTAACTTTTTGATCAATGCAGATTAAACTAAATAGTTTTGTTTGATGGAATAATCCAAACACATTGCATATAAAAAGTAGTGGAGCTTTGCTGTCCTGAATTAACCCAATCTGTTTTTATTTTTATCCTTCACCTCTTTCCCCAGGCCTCATCGTGGGGGTGATCTTACGTTACGTCGTTCAGGTCCCTCGGGATGCCAGCGTGGTCTCGACAAACTGTTTTGTTAACGCCAGCCCCGCCACCCTGCTGGTTAATGTCAGCGGGAAATTTTATGAGTACACTTTGAAAGGGGAGATCAGCGCCAATGAGGTGAACGACGTGAAAGACAACGAAATGCTGCGCAAGGTACTGGGCCATCCTCAGTGTTTTAGTTTGCTTGGTCACACAATCATGAAGGAGAGCAACTGCAATTCAAACACCTGGAAGTTGTTAAAACTGAAGTTATCGCTCATTAAGCAAAGAAGGATTTAATTTATATCTATTATATCTTTGTTTTATTGTCATCAGTTTAACGCAACAAGAACAGCTTTCTGATTGCATGCATTATTTCAATCCTTCTCGCAAAAGCATTCAGAGCGCTTTAACTTTTTGTGCATTTTGTCAAATTTTACCCACAAAAATCAACATATGTTTGTAGGATTTTTTTCTGATGATCAACACAATTTATCCCCTCTGAGATGCTGATTGGTAAAACTAAAGTTTATTGAAGTATCAGGTAAACTTTAAAGGTTTGTCTCTACCATTTGACACATCTTGATATTTTAATATTTTTAGTTGTTTTTCTGTGCAAAACTGCATAGTTTGTGTCAGTTACTTTTCACATAATCCTTGAAGCTTTCGGGTTCATTCATATAGGAATGTCAACATTTGCCCAACCTTCCTTACAAAATGGCTCAAGCTATTGACAGGGATTTTCAAGTCTAATCAGACTCTGTATTTATTTAGTTACTCTGACTGAGCCATTTAAATACTAGAATATGTTTGGCTCCTAAACATTCAATTGCTGCTGTGTTGGGGTGTCTGTTTGTGCTTTGCATCGTTTTTTGCTGGAAAGGTGACCTTTAACCCCAACTTAAAATCCTCTGCAGCCTCTTAATGGGTTTACGTCTAGGTGTTCTTTGAATTTACAGTAGCCCCTACTGCAGAAAAGCATCCCTACAAGGTAGTGCTGCCACCACCACCCCTTACTGTATAGGTGGATTAAGATGAGGCTCAGTGTTCAAAGCATTTCATGTGAACCTTTGTGGCTTTGCAGTTCTATCCTATCTTTTCAGTTTTAGATAATGGTTTGAATGTAAAATGCTTTCAAAGTTTGTGTGTTCGATTTTAAGGAGTTGAATACATAAATATGTCACCCTGTTTGGGCTTTTATTATTAAGTAGAAAAAAAATCTATTCAGCTCACTATTCAATGCTTCTTTGTGATACTTTGTGTTGCTTTTTTATACATAAAATTGCAGGTGTTCTATTGGGATTTTAATGGGGAAAGAAAAGCTCAAGGGGTGGGAAAACCTTTGTCTTTGTCTCAAGCAACAATGAAAAAACAGCTTTAAATCTGTGTATTGTAAAGTGCTGGCTATTTCCTTTGTGATGCAGTGTAAAGTAACAGCAGAATAACTAGATTATTTTGTTCTATCAAATCTTATTGGCTGATCTTGATTTAGGCTTTAATTTGGTCTCAGGTTTAATGAGTTGATGTTTGATAAACTGTCACTCTTCCACTTTTTGTCAATTTGTCAATTTATTCTAAGTTCCAGATGTTTCATGCTAGATTAAAAAAAATACATGTTAATTGAATGTATCCTGAAATTCATCAACATAAAACTGTTTGTGAAGTTTGGCCTTTTTTGTTCAGCTAAAAATGTTGTTTTTGTGTATTTCAGGTCACGTTTGACCCTGAAGTTTTCTTCAATATTCTTCTCCCACCCATTATCTTCCATGCAGGCTACAGCTTAAAAAGGGTACAACGTTCAATTATTTTCAAACAAATCTTTTTCATTTCTGATAACATTTTGTCTTCCGTTGAACTAATCTTTTACTCGTAAATTAAAAAAAGAGGTGCATTTTTCTAATAGTTGTTTTTATTTTACAGAGACATTTTTTCCGGAATATGGGATCTATCCTTGCTTATGCCTTTGTGGGGACAGTGATTTCCTGTTTTGTTATTGGGTAAGATAATGTTGCTTAAAAACTACTAAGACAAACCTTTACAATGTATTTGAAGATAAGATGCCTTCTGGTCCTCCCAACAGGTTGTTGATGTACGGCTGTGTTGTGCTAATGAAGCAGTTGGGCCAGATGGGGGAAGACTTCTTCTTCACTGACTGCCTGTTCTTTGGAGCTATTGTCTCAGCAACAGACCCAGGTATGTGTGTATATATAATATTTATATAAATATATATATATTTTTAAATTATATTTCAAGGAAAGTCTCAATAGTTCCAAAAAATTCACATTTTAGCCAAGGTAAGGTGAGGAAACTTCAGTAATGTCCTTAATATACTTACTAGATATTGAAGGGACCAAGTGTACATCCCAGAGGTACACCAGAGTTAATGTCATCTGTTTATTTAAAAAAAAAAAAACACCATTTCATATAACTCAGATTTGATCTGTTTCATTGCAGTTGGTGAACTAAGGTTTCCTTCTAGAGCAGGAGAGAACCTTTACTACACTTTTGTCTAGTTTAGACATCATAATTTCTTATTACATATTTACAGTTTAGGATAATGATCAATTTAAACCCTGACATCAGTTCCTGCTGGTAGTAATGAGAAGTACTGATTGGTGTGTAAATATTGACATCTTGTTCATCAGATCAATAACTCTGTAGTTTCCAGGCAGTCAGATTTGATCCCTGTTTTATTTCTGAGGCTGTCGAAAACTCACTAAAGAAGTTTACATTGATCTTAACTTAACTTGGGGTTAACTGGGTTTAAACAAGTTGACAAATAAAATCGTTGGATCAGATAATTATTTTTATAATAAGCGACCTCTCTCATGCTAATCCTCATTGTGCAAACATTTGTTAAAGAGTCAATTCTTTAATAGCATTACTGTGTTAAACCAATAATTTTTTTTAGATTTCCTTTAAATCGATTTATTTGAGGGCATTGCTTAAATCTGCTTTCAATATAAACTGTATTGGTTCATGGTCACATTTTTCTTTAAACTGGAAATTCCAGTTAAGATTTTAAAACCTATATTTCAAGAGAGTCCTTGGTAACTTTAGAGATAAATAGGAGCTCCTAGGTTTTTCCAAATGCCATGTGTTTGTATTTCCACCATGAAAAAAAAACATGTATCTGTATGTTTCACAGTGACAGTCCTGGCTATCTTCCATGAGCTACAGGTTGATGTTGACCTGTATGCACTGCTGTTTGGAGAAAGTGTGCTCAATGATGCTGTGGCCGTGGTTTTGTCCTCGTAAGTTGTTGTTTTTTTTATATATATAATTCTTAATCTGCAAGTAAACAGAGAAGGAAATGCACTGACTGTTTGAGACATGACTTTAAAAGTGTATGTTTTGGCCTCTGATCAGACATTTCACCAAACTTAAAGGAAAAGTTCGGTTTTTTACACTTTAAGCCCATTTTCTGTAGTGTCCAGGATGAAATCGAATGATCGACACCAAAAGTTTGACAATTGGTCCTGTCTCTGCTTTTTGGCTCATTTAGAATCACCCCCTGGCTGCTTTAGAATGGCTAGCATAGAGCATGTCCGATAATGTCCTTAAAACAACCTTAAACGTTCTTTTTTTAAAATATGCTACTTACCGTGTCGTCGGCGCTGTTCAATGACGTTCCAAAAAAAGTTTCGTGAAGAAAAAACGTTCCTGTAGTGTTTTATTTAGCATTTTGTAAATCCCATTGAGTTCTGTAGGAATAGTCAATATTCCGCTGCCACCGGAAACGGAAATGGGGCCTGTTTACACAGTTGTAGTCTTTTCGCTTCACTCTGTGTACTCCGACGTCGAGAATCAAGAATCCACCTTTCGTATTCCATTTTCAGAGTTTTTTAAAGTGTTTAACAGAGACGTTAGCACCTCGACGTCGGAGTACACAGAGAGAAGCAGAAACACTTGGGCCTTGCGAAAAGACTACAACTGTGTAAACAGGCCACATTTCCGTTTCCGGTGGCAGCGGAATATTGACTATTCCTACAGAACTCAATGGGATTTACAAAATGCTAAATAAAACACTACAGGAACGTTTTTTCTTTGCGAAACTTTTTTTGGAACATCATTGAACAGCGCTGACGACACGGTGAGTAGCATATTTAAAAAAAAGAACGTTTAAGGTTGTTTTAAGGACATTATCGGACATGCTCTATGCTAGCCATTCTAAAGCAGCCAGGGGGTGATTCTAAATGAGCCAAAAAGCAGAGACAGGAGCAATTGTCAAACTTTTGGTGTCGATCATTCGATTTCATCCTGGACACTACAGAAAATGGGCTTAAAGTGTAAAAAACCGAACTTCTCCTTTAAATCGTTTGCCCAGGTTTCTCTGTTTTAACTTCTCCCTTCAATACTGTTGTAACTTCCTTTGTATAATGTGTCATGATAACATGCAGCTAGGAGATTCATCTCTGTACTGTGCAGAAAGACCAAGGCTAACTCACTGAATTAGTTCACTAAGTAGATCATTCTTTTGTGTGCTTCTACAGTGCCAGGGGGCAAACACTACAAATCAGAGGCTTTTGTTGTTTCTGACTGACTTATCCAGACAGATTTTTAGAACATTAAGTTCTAAAAGTTTTTCTGAGTTAAGTCATTTTATTTTTATTTTTTTGTGTGGGCTAAGAAAACATTTTCCCCACAATATTATTAGCTTTAAAAGGCTCTCAGGGCCATACAGAAGGAAGGCAGATTAAAACAAATCATCTTATTATTTCTGTGAAGGAGAGATGGTGTAAATCTAAATAAATCCAATTTTAGAATCATTCTGTGATTAAATCAAAACCAAACAAACAAGCTCCGGCTGAAATAGATATTTGATGTTAAGCTCTAACTAACATGTAAGATACATTGTATAGCATTCTCTACATCTGTAGGCTTCCTTGGTAATGCTCAGTGTTCAAAAACATTTTATTAAAGTTATGAAGTCTCATCTAAAAAATACATTATTTCAGAAAGAAAATATTGAATAAAGAAATAAGGAATGACATCCAAATGCCGCTTTTTAAGGAGAGAAGAGTGGGATGCTGGGTTTACCAAATCCTCTTAACCTACTTTGGCTCCATTAATAGGCCACTGAGATTGACAGGGTGATAGGTGCCGTAATGCCTGAACAGGCTTTTCATTTATCTGCAAAGTTTTAATTTAGTTACGTTTATTTTACTCCTGAGCAAGAAAAATGCAGTACCATACTTTAAATGATTGTACACAGCAATCTGGAAATATTAATGCTGCAATTAAAGATATGAGCCTGAAAGGGAAAGATAAAGACAGATTATGATCTGCAAAGTCAATATTTTAGTAGGTCAAAGCTCTGATCTCAGGACCTAGAGAAGTGTGTTTTGAGCACAAAAGGGGTTTATGACCAGTGCAGCCTAAAGATCTGACCCAGTTCCAATGTTCTGCAAGGAAAAATGGCTCAGAATTCCTCCTTACTGTTTTTAAAAGATATCCATAGGGTTTGACCTAAGACATACATTTTAGAAAAATAAGACTGGACCAATTACTAAAGCCCCTGTCACAGATAGACTATTTAGACAGCCTAAGCTTGACGTATGCAAAATCTGGCAAAAATGCTGGCATACGTTGAATAAATTATGGGTACGTTGTGTATAGGTCATGAGCACGCTGGAGTACGCTGAAACACGTCGACATACGGCAAGTGCGTCGAGAAATGTTTTGAACATGCTCAAAATTACCTGACGTATGCCAGCGTATGCTTTTACGTGGGCCATAAGTTACAAATAAGTAATGTGATCGTTGAGATACGTTAAGTGTAAGTTACTCATAAGTCACGGTGTCTATTTATCCAAAGCCTATGAGTAACTTGTGTATAACTGATGCGTAACTTTTATAAAGAACTTTTCTCCAACACATATCGACGTATTTGATGTGTGCCAGGACGACCGCTGAACATGTTTCTGACTTCAAGCTACTGTTTAATGGCGTATTGTTAGCGTTTTGGTATAAAAGGGGGTTCACAGGAGCAAACCGTAAGTTCTCCTTCAGGATGCATCCGCATCATAGGGTGAGCGATAAAGTGAGTGTGATGGATCCTCCTGCCTTCACGCCCACGACCAACAATCTTCCTAGCAGACATGACGCTGAATCTGCTACGACTGCAAACCTTCTTTCTTTCTGTTTCTATAGTCTTTTTTTTTTTTGGCAGGCGGCAAATAGCAGCTAGGTTAATACCGCGATCAAAGAAATCTTTTTAATCAGGCTGCTCTCCTCCCCCCTCGGGACACCGGCTTGTGCATCATTTCATAGGCATTACACTGCCGTACGTTATGCATAAGTTAGGCTGTCGTTGGACATAAGTTCTGGACTACTCCATGTATATGCCCAAAATTGAAAAAAATACATAGAAAGTGCAGCGTATGCCAGCGTTCTGATTCTGGGACGCTAAATCAGCAAGGTGTGACAGGGCCCTAAGGAAATGTAGGAAAAGTTTAAGTGTCAAGAAGTCTGAAAAAACAATCTTTGGTTGTTTTTTGGTTCTTTTCACATTTAAGAAATGGAGATGGTTTTCATTAGACCTAAAACAGTACAAGTTTAACTGGATTTAACGTCTGACAGCAATCAAAACAAAAAATATAAATTTTTGTAAACTTTGTTGAAATATCTGGTATTAACTCTGAATATTTGCCAATAAGTGTTTTTCTCTATGTTTACAACCAGGTCTATTGTTGCATATCAGCCGCAGGGAGACAACAGCCACACCTTTGAGGTCATGGCCTTGCTGAAGTCTTTTGGGATGTTCCTTGGAGTTTTCAGCGGCTCCTTCTCACTGGGAGTGGCAACAGGGATCGTTACAGCTCTTATATCTTTTCTGGTTCTGTTTTCCATCCATTGTGCTCAGCAAAGTTATCCAGAGTTAAGCTTTGTGTGAAGTACCCCACAGAATGATTTTTGTAGTGAGATGATATTTGCATAAACTGAGTTAAATCATTAAGTGTAAAACCAATGTGTTGATTTAAACCAACTCCTTGACTGTGATCTGTACGTAACAAAGTTCACCAAACTAAGGGATTTCCAGCTGCTGGAGACGGCTCTGTTCTTTCTCATGTCTTGGAGCACCTTTCTGCTGGCTGAAGCTTGTGGCTTCACAGGTACCAGAAACACTTTCATGTATTTAAAATGGATCTGTTGTAAATATTTCCTGCATTCCAGTAGAAGCGATCCTAATGTGGTTTTTTTTGTCTTTCTATTATATGATCTAACCTAACATTGTGCTCCACAGGTGTGGTGGCAGTGCTCTTCTGTGGCATCACTCAGGCCCACTACACCTTCAACAACCTGTCTCCCGAGTCTCAGGACAGGACAAAGCAGGTCGGAACCCATCTTAAAGTGTTAAGTTGTGTCATTATAAAAAAAAAAATCCCAGGTTTAATTGTGGTTAAAATTCTAACCCTACCGTATTTTCCGGACTATAGAGCGCACCTGGAAACTGCAAACATGCATATATAAGCCGCACTGGGCTATAAGCCGCAGATATCTACTGAACTTTCTCCCACACACCTCTAGGGGGAGCTCTATATATAGCCCCTGGAGTAGGGATGTTGCTCACAGCTGTAAGAGCTACTACTGAAAGATGGGGCCCAGTCTCTCTCATAGGTTCAGCAGCTTTAATGCAGCAAATAAATCTCAGAATTTGGGATGTTTGTTCTCCGTGGTGCCTGCTGTTAGCATGTACTTGTGCTAAATTAAAAATAGCGCCTTATTCTTTAATTTCCAACTCTGACTTCCCCCTCTGGCGGTTAGAAAAAATCCACAGAAAAGCCGTACCGTCTTATAACCCACGTGGTTCAAAGCATGGGAAAAGGGTAAATGTTAAGTGGCCTGTACCAATAAAACGTTTTTTTCAAGTCTGAGGACTTGACCAAAGCACTGTACGCTACATTCAGTCATTGCCCCATTCACGCACACATTCACACACTGAAGTAGCGGCTTTATAGTCCAAAAAATATGGTACATTTAATCATATTTATGAATTAAGTTTCTAATCAGTCTTTTTTTAATTAAATTTAAACAATCCTCTTAGCATCAAATATATCAGTATCAAATTCTGAAGATGTGAAATATTTTCCTAAACATTGACCCTTAAGTTCTCTTTTTTTTTTTTCTCGTTTTTTTTTATTAAAAAAAGAATGAGATAAGTGTGTTATAAAATATATTAACACGTTAGTTTAAAACTAAATGGCTAGATTAGGATTGATCATTTATGGGATCAAAAATGATTTTATATTTAAGGATTAAGTAAGCAAAGGAAACAGAAAATAGTATAAAAACCATGGGCGTAGGTTTGCATAGGAACCATAGGGACATGTCCCTACCAATGTTTTGAACCGTCCTAATTGTCCCGACCAATAATTGGATGTGAGCAACATGTTTATAATTTACAGCAGTGGCTCTTTTCCTCTCGCAGCTCCTCTGCCTGGTCTCTCCTGTCCCTTTCACCTAGCGGCGCATTGAACTGTGCTGCGCTGTTTAACTCCACTCTCATTGGCTGTTCTGCCTTAGGTCCCGCCTTCTCTCTTTCTGATTGGCTGTTTTCTAGTCAGCTGTGCTTGGAGCACAACATTGAAAATTTATTCACACTAGAATGCAGCGGTTACTACAATTAATATTAGACTATGAAACTAGTCCCAATAAAAAAAATGAATATCATGTACACTAAAAAACAAAAACCTTGCTGTTACTGGTTTCATTTTTTGATGACTCTGAGGAAGTTCAGGTATAATTATTAGCAGGTGTTATTTCTCTTATAGAGGAAAACAACAAGAAATGGCGGCTAAACATCTGCTGTTTATCGTTTAAAAAGCATAATTAGGGTTCCAAATAATAATAATAATTTAATTGACTATTTATACTTCTAGAAATAGGATAAAGAGAAGAACAAACAGATGAAGAATATTAACATTGATTTTATCTTACATAGATTTCCACACAGTCTATAAGTAAATTAGTACAAACATTAATGTCTGGTAAAAATGCTGGAATCTGACTGTTTATTTTGGATATTATTAAATTACAGATAAGATAGTGTTATATTGTCTTTTATAATTGTTAAAAGTGATTTTATATTTTAATCAACTTAGGCTCATTCTCAGTGTTGTGTTTGTAGATGATGCCACTAAAAAGAAAATATACATAAGGAGCTATTTATACAGTCAGACAGTAGCAATATAGGACAATGATAAAAGGTTGTGTTACATTTAATCCTTTACTATTAAAAATGCACTTATACATTATATGATTATAGGAAACACAGATATCCAGTAATAATGGTGCAGGGCAGCTTGTAGGTGAAGCAGCTGCCATTCAGTGCTTCAGGTGACGTCTAAATAAACCAGGTGAAACTAAAATATTTCCACATGAGGAGTTCTGGATGGAGAATTTTGATTATATATATGTATTGTAGTTTTACAATTTTGGTATAATTACTGATCTAAGTGGGTTGCTCTGTTGGAAAAAGACACATTTTACATTTATATTATGTTTTAGAGTCTTTATACTCCAGTTAATGATGAATCAATTATTAAATTAGTTGACGATTATTGAAATAATCAATTCATGCTTCAAACATTGATAAACAGCATCTAATGAGTGTAGGGTTTTTTTTATTTAATTTTTATTAATGTAGCAAAATTATGCTTTTCTCTTTTAACATTGAATTCCTCTTATCAGTACGGATGCTCACATCGAGCATAAAAAAGGGCGTGCATATTGCATAGCACCAATGACACCCGACCAATCGTGTCCCTACCAAAGTTAAAATCAAACCTACGCCCTTGATAAAAACCCTTAAGGGAAGTTGTGAAGGGAACAGAAAATGAGCATTTCGTTTTTTATATGTGATTATTAATGAATATTTATAGATGATTGGCTGTTTTTATCACACCTTCTATTCTTGTTTCTGTCTGAATCTAAAACCAAAGGTCTGCAAAAGAGAAGGAAACTCGGAAAATGGGAACTTTAAGTCTGTTTCAATTCTGAACCACTACAAGCGTACAGCAAAACAAAAGAGCAGCAACTTTAGGGTTAGACGCTGTTTGTCAAACAACAGGGGTTTCCTGAAATCCAATAGTCCAACAGCTGCTCTGATCTGATCTGATCGTTCTGTGGTGCAGTTTGGACAACCCAGAGGTTCCTCTTTTAGAAATTTAGAACAGAACAGTTCCCGAAAAAAAACGAGCTTCATCTCTACAACAGGTGCATAAAAATAAAATTAACCCATAATATCTGGAACTCTATAACAGAGTTCAATGAATAATAGCTACTGATTTCAGACCTGAATCAGCAACAAGTTGATCAGGTTTGGCTTTAATTGCAGAAGGGCTTTTTGCATGGTGCTGTCACAGAATGTCTTAGTCTGGCCCAGCATTAAGAGCGCCGCTCAGAGGAGTTTCTGAGCGACACTAGCAGGTGATGATTACGGAGGCATTTAGAAATGCTTGTGCCACGTTATCAAACCATATTAGGATTTGTTTTTTTTTCTAAGATGATTCAGTTCTGAAACACTTGATAAGATCATCTTTGGCGACAAGCGTCATGCGTGAATTAAAAAAAATAAGCTCATAACCAATCACAAATTAATTATGATTCACTTAAAAAAGTTCTAATGTAAGATCATTCACTTTAAGAAATACTTTGACATGTGCTAATACAGGGTTTGTACAGGAATGAATAAGTCAAATTTAATGCTTTTTAATGCCACTAACAGGTACCCGTCGACAGGCTGCAGCCCTGTCCCAAATTCCTCGTTTTCCAGCCACTTTTGTTGAAATTTGCTTTTTTCCCTGCATTCTCTAGCTTTTTCTCCGACTCAAGCTTCTTTTCTGAACATACAGCTTTTCGACCAACCGGAAGCAATTCCTCGCAAATATATCCCGATATAATATTGCTAACGAAATTGTTTTTATAAACATTTTTTTTAATAAAGCATCTTAAATGCCACAATAAACACATTTAATGAATTTTAATGCCAAATAAGGCCTTAACTTAAAAAAATAATACTTTAATGACTTTTAATGATTTTTATTGACCCGCGGAAACCCTGTAATAAGTATCTAAAACAGCTACTGACTTCATGGTTATAAACCCTGAGTGCTCTGCCAACCTCAAAGTCACGACAAAGTCTTTTTCAACCAGCTTGTGTAAAAGAGTGAAATATGTGCCTGTTGATGCGTATGCAAGCAAAAAGTCAGATTTCTGACAGTTTATATGATTTCGAAGGTGTTTCAAGTTATTTACATTTTATGTTTTATGTAGAGTTAAACACTTTTGTTATTTAAACTCATTAAAACATCAAATTGTGCAGCACTGCAGATGCATTTCTCTGTTTGGTACATGACTGGTTTACATATATGAAGCTGCATGCATTTATGAAACAACAAATGACACTTTAGCGTCTCCACTCAGGAGGGGCTTAACCTATAGCTTTATCTGTGTATCCTGTAACTCATCAGTATATCTCTGAAATAATAAATTAATATAATAATAGTACTGCTGACAGCACATTGCTATATTTACCGGCAACTATCTTCTCTGTTGCTGCAATCATGTCAAAACGACCATCTTTGTTCATGAGTGAACAGAAAGAAACTGAACCAAATATGTTTAAATGTCTGCTGAAAAATATGCTTGACTCAAAGAAAAGTAATTTATTATAGTTTTAATGTTTTGTTCTCGATCTTTGTTTTGTTTTTGCAGCTGTTTGAGCTGTTAAATTTCCTGGCAGAGAATTTCATTTTCTCCTACATGGGTCTGACCCTGTTCACCTTCCAGAACCACATCTTTAACCCCATGTTCATCGTTGGAGCTTTCGTATCTTTTCAACCTGTTTGAACCTATTCCTATTTTATAAAATGATGCTTATTTATTTCAGTTACTCTTAATAATCACAATATCCTTGTATCACATGCTCTACATGTAAAGTTACATCTAGACACAATTGTTTGTAAAGTCTTGATAGATTTAATGCAAAGATGACAATTTCCTCCTGGATTCCACTGTTTGTTTGTTTTTTCCTTGACCTTCTTCCCATCCAGCTGGCAGTGTTTGTGGGAAGAGCTGCTAACATCTACCCGCTGTCATTCCTCCTCAATCTGGGACGACGTAACAAGATTAGATCCAACTTCCAGCACATGATGATGTTTGCAGGCTAGTGGAGCACAGACTGTAGAAGAGATTTGACAGCTAAAAAAGATATGTGAACATTTCTCTCATGTTTTGTTCTTTTTATTTTTAGGCCTGCGAGGTGCTATGACTTTTGCTCTTTCCATCAGGGACACGGCTACGTACGCCCGTCAGATGATGTTCTCCACCAATCTTCTCGTAGTTTTCTTCACTGTCTGGGTTTGTGGCGGTGGCACCACTCAGATGCTGTCCTGTCAGCGAATACGGTACGCTGTTTCAGACTTGCCGCTCTTGAGCTGCTATATTTACACATCAAGAGGTTTTTTTACTTTGAAAAATGATGCCAAAAGCTCTAAGTGATTCTGTTTAAATTCTGCTAAATCAAACGGCTCATAATTGTCATCCCTGTTTAAGTCCTGGCAGAAAGAAAATGCTAATGCCTGATTACATTAATGTGAAACTAGAAGGTGCTAATTTTTTTTATTAATGTATAGTTGTAGGATTTCTAGATAAGTCTTGTCAACTTAAGAAAATACAAATAACATTTTTTTAAATAATTTTATTCATAAAAATACATGAATGTAGAAAAAGTCAATGTGCTGGTTTTGCCACCCATGGTGACATCGACTGTGATCGAGCATTTGACAAACCAGCAATTAGTCTTTAGTCCCTGTAGACATAATCCTAATGAGATTTAAGCTCAAACTTTGACTAGACCATTTTAATCAAGCCATTCAGACTCGGACCCCTATTGGTCAGGATCTGTTGTAGTTTTATTCTAGGTCACAGGGGCTCACCTTTCAAAACGTCTGCTTTAGTTTGCTAATTTTTTTGAAAACTGTATCCTTTATTTATGTCTGATATCTTTGTCTGATATAATCACTGGATTCAGTAATTAAAATGCTTCTAAATACAATCAAACATGAAAGCAGACTGCGCTATGAAAGTGACCAAGAGACAGATTCATTGTTCTTCCCTTTACAGAGTGGGCGTTGACTCTGATCAAGACAACTCTGTAAGTATGCCACAAGATGATCTGGTTTACAGCTGATGTTATTTGTAAATACATTAATGAATAAAAAAAATGTCCTCTGTGTTGGTTCAGATGAGTTTCGCAGACGGTTCAGAGAGGAGAAGCACCAAACAAGAAAGCGCCTGGCTGTTCAGAATTTGGTACAACTTCGACCACAAGTATCCTTTAAAAAGAGCGCGTACCGTTGTGATTCAGCTGCTCTGCTTTCTGCTCTTGTTAAATGAAAGGCTTTCAAGCCTGTTAGTAAGGGCTGGTGTTCATATTTTAAGCCAGCAGAGGGAGCTCAAGTTATACATTAAGAATTAAATGATCTCCAGATTCAGAAGTAAAATCTGATATAGAGCTACACTAAATACAAGGATATAGCCTTCTTTACTGTCTGAGGTTGTTATTTACTGCAGCCTTTCAGCTACTGCTGATACAAGATGTGTTTTATTATGGATATTAAACCTCTTATGCTCACGTTCATCCACCAAGTCCATATTTTATACATAGGTCCTGGATTTATGTTTAACTGGATAACAGCTTCATGCATCCGTGCTCCGTCCCTTTGCTATCCATTTTTTTGTGTTTTTTTTTTATGTTTCTTTTTTGTTTAAACTGAGACTGTTAGTATGTCATTTATCATTTCAGTGGAGGATTATAAAACAATGTTGGCTTCAAAAATTGGCCTCAAAGAATCAACAACTGGGATCAGTTAGACTAATGACAAAAATAACCACGCATATGGAGGTCCACAATAAACCTGGTTGATTTCTCTACATTTTGTTGACATGATGTCACAGAATGAAGCTGTTTGCTTGAGGTTTGTTCTGAAGTAGCTTAAGACGGGTCAGTCGCTGATGTTAATGGACCTATGGATTTAATATCATAAAAAAAAAGAATAGCCATCTGGGTCTTCCCAGATGGGTCTTTTTTAATAACACTCATCTTGGTGTGTATAAAAACGTCTGAATTTTGAGAATATAATAATAAAAAAGTTGTTTTTGGATTTTTTCTGTAATCACAACTGGCACAGGATGACTCAAAAGCTTTAACTGAAATTATACAGGGTATGTTATTATCCACTTTAAACGGTAGCTCATCAGTGTGAAGACTTTGGTAAGTCAGAATACCCAGGTCCCGGTATAAAGAGTGGCGCAATCGTTCCTTTGTGGTTACCGTACCTGAACTGTGCAGCCGCCTGCCCCCCGGGCTGCATGTTCTCACAGATCTGCCCCTTTTTAAGTCCAGATTAAAGACTCATTATTTAAAACTGGCTTTTAATAGAACACTGATTTATGCTTAGGATTTTTGTTTTTACAATGTTTTTATATTTGCTCCTCCTGGTGTTTTTGTAAAGTGCTATAAAAATAAACTTTGTTTGATTGCAGAATGAAAGACATTAGATAGCCTTTACTGTCCCACAGTGGGGACATTCAAAATTTGCCCATAGGTCCTAAGGAGCAAAGTGAATCAACAATAAACAATAAAAACATCAAAAACACACAATATGCATAAAGTCTGCTGGAATATAAAAAAATTAGTGATAATGGGGTTTCTGTTTTTCATTTGTTATTGAAATGCTTCCTTTACTCCAGCTGTTCTCCAGCTACCTGAAGCCCATCCTGACTCACAGTGGCCCCCCTCTCACATCTACACTCCCTCCCTGCTGCGACCCCCTGGCCCGCTTCCTCACCAGCCCTCAGGCCTATGAGGTCAGAATTTGGGTCATATGGACCTATTTAGTTCACGTTTGATGAACATATCAGGATATGTCTCTTGTCCACCCCCTTCCCAGAATGAGTGCCAGCTGAAGGATGATGACTCTGACCTCATCCTGACGGACGGAGACATCAGCCTGACCTACGGCGACATCACTGTCAGCACAGACGCTACAGGAGCCCACACCAGCGGCCGGCACGCCTCAGACGACCTGGATAGAGAGTTAGCATACGGAGATAATGAGCTGGTGATGAGGGGCACGCGTCTGGTCCTCCCCATGGACGACTCTGAGCCTCCGTTCACCGACCACCTGCGGATGTAAAAAGCAGGTTTCAGCGCAGCCCGAGACAACCATCCATTTCAAACTGACCCAAGCCACCCAGCAAACATTGATTACTTGACTCTCTCTTTTCTTTCACTCTTTCATTTTTTTTTTGTCTCCTCTTCTTTTTTCCTCATCCCTCACTTCCCTGTCTCTACCTCATTCTCTTTCTGCTCATTTTCATACTACTTCAGACATTCCAGTTTTCTTTCTCCATTCTGGCTCCTGTCAGTCACTTCACCGTAGCATTGCAGCATGAGTTCTAGTGAGTAAATGCAAAAACGCCAACCACTACCTAATTTATCAGTGTGCAGTGTATCTCAAGAGAAACTATAATGTTGTCATGCATGTGGAGGTTGCTCGTCATTATTTTTGTATTTTAGAATATGAAGCTTTGTTTTTGGTTTGGGTCTGACTTTGAATGTTGCTGACTTTTTTCTGCGCATCAGAGGCAAGCTGACCCAGAGGGTAACTTTACTGTACATTTGGTTTCAATCAAGTGCCTGGGAATTGTAGTTTTTAAGCATGGCAACTCTATACTAGATTATTTCTAAAAAGGACGCAGCTTTAGAGTGGTACAAAAAAAAAAAAAAGATATATATATGTATATTAAAGTCCAATGGAAGCCTCCAACCCAGAAAGGTCTCAGTATACCGCATGGGTGTGTGTGGCATCGGCTTGTGCTGTTTGCTTGTTAATAACACGTAAACAATGTGAAGCCGCCGGGCAGCAGTGACAGCTAGTTACGGATCTCTGCGGGTGACCTTAGACTGTGACATTAGAGAGATTTTGCACCTTACTTAGGAAGCCGACAGCGATCACAGCATATTGACAGGTTGCTGCTCTGAAAAAGAAAAAAAAATCCAAATGAAGTGAAGTAAATAAGCTCTGTGCCATTCCTGTCATGCATTATGACATCCTGTGTAAACTGAATCCATTTGACCTTAAAGTGTTTTGTACGCTTTTTGCTAAGGAACATTTTTGTCATACACGTCTAACTTTGTTCACATTTCAATTAAGATGTTTAGTTTTCATTAAAGTCCTTAAAGTAACATTTAGGTGCCTAAAATTTTACACAGACAAAAAAATTTTTTTTTCTATAATCTTGGAAATTTAGGTTATTTCTTCCTTTTGGCATCTTTCAATGCATTTTTTCTTTTAATTTAAGATATATTTGCTCGAACATCCCTCAGTTACTTAATTTCAGCCTTTATTATTCACAAATAAAACCCATATGTTAAGCAAAAATATTTAGGATATTAATGTTGATTAATTAATTCTATATTAATTAGTTAAATATTCCATTAATTGGTGGAATATTTCTGTGCTGGATCGTATTCATCGTCATGCTGTCATCACTCTTGATCATTTTCAATATTAGGGCTGCACAGCATGCAGAAAATATGGCATTATATCAGATGAGGACGGCTAAAGACCGGCAAATCAGACAGTTATCTAAAATGTCATGTCCAGCTTAATACTTCATCTCAAAAGTCAATTGAAAATGCTCACTGTGAGGTCTTCAATCTGTCGTGCTGCTCTAATTATAATTCAGAATATTTATGCTATAGTCCAGATTCCCTGGTAGGAGTAGATATTTGCACTGGGACTGGGACAGGTCTTCATTTTGAAAGCGACCAGCATTAGTTTAGCCTAAATGTTTTATGTTCTTTTGTTGCCCTCTTGTTTTGTACTGAATGAGTCTTTTGAAGGTAAAACAAAACATAAGTTTACTTGAACAAAAGTATGTCAATGCAAAATCACACCTGTTACGTTTGGTTTATTTCTCTGCATGTTAAAGAAGAACAAAAAGCTTTTTGAGCCACTTTAGGTTGCAGAGTTTCAGGGCTACAGACCCTACAGGAAGCACAGGTCTGGTTGTCACCATGGTTACACTGTGTTTATTTAAACTGTAGCCAGAAAACATTTGGTGATTTAGCTAAACGCAACCGTTTTAGTTTTTTGTGTGAGCCAAAGAAAATGAAGCAATTGCATGCAGAACAAATAAAGGTTTTTAAGAATTTAAAAAATGGAGAAGAAGAAGAAGGAAAGAGTTGACAGAAGGAGGCTTGTAGATAACGACTCTTCCTTCCTCAGTTATCTTCTGCTGTGCAGGAACTTTTAATTTAACTTTTTTTCTTTTCTTAGCTTGTTTTTTTTTTTTTTTTTTTTTGCTTTAACCAGGCATTCTTTATAACTTGTATTATTTTTCATTATTTCAGTTCATTTTTTTTTTTTTCAAAAAGAAGTGAAGTAAAGGAAGCCTGCCATTTGCACTCACTGTATGCTTTTTTTTTTTTCATTCTTTTACATTTTTGATGTTAAAGACAGTAAAACAATATCATTTCTAACAATGACGGATAAATCCATGTTTAGTAAAAGTTTCATTCCTTTTGTAAAGATATATTTCTGCATAGCAGCAACTGTAAAGATGATTTCATGCATTTATTTCCCCCCATCTTTGGTACTTTTTAAGTTGTTTGCAACAAGAGGATTTTGCCATGATTTCTTCAGAGCACAAATGACCTTCTGCTGATTGTGTATATTTGGAAAAAAAAAATCTGAATCTGAGCAGAACTGTTTCTATCCAAGTGACCCATCAATCAATGTTAACGACCTTGGTCTCGTTGTTTTCTGCTCTGCCAGTACGTGTGCTGTTTCTGCTCTCTGATTGGTAACTCGTAACAAGCTTTGATCAGTGGAAATATTATCTCAAGTAGCTGACCAAAGAGGCCTGCTGTGCTCTGTGTTTCAGACACTCCGCATTCTCTTCATACAGCATATTCCCTTCGTGTGAATGTATCTAAATGCCTGCAAGTGTTTATGGATGTGAGTCCGACAAAAAAAAAAAAATACTGTGTCCTCTCTTTTTTTTTGTATTTTTTTTTTTACCTTTGTTGCAGATACTGTTTACATCTGTGTAAATATACTCTCACCTGTTCTCTGTGCGTGCAACGGTCAATAAACAGAAGCCTTTGCATTTGATTATAGCTCTCTGTCCAGTGACCTCATTGTTTATCCAGCCTTTTACCATTCTGCAGAAGTCAGAGTAGGAGACACTCCTATTCCCAAAAATCATGAAGCATATTTACCAGTTATGCATGATTAGTGTGATTATGTCACTTTAAAGTATAATACTGAGTAAATCAGTCATACAGACCATTTCAAAAAAGAATTTTATTGGGTAACATCTCTGATCCAACATCAATGAGTGATTCTACAATATTACAGAAAGCATTAATTAGCCTACACATCAAAAAAGATTGTAATACAGGATTCCTTAATGCTATATGTGCGAAGGACCTCACCTATATTAAGACACGCCCCTCTGGATCACATGGTGATTTTCTTAATAGAAAATTACAACATTTTGCAAGAGTGAGTTATTGTTTATATTTTATGTGCATTAAATTAGCCTAGCGCATCTTACTGCTAAAGATGATGTGTGAGGCTAACTCCAGGACTGTCCCCGACCCTGGATCCCTTTTAAAACAGGCCTCCCTTTGTTTAAATGAAGGGACAGATCTGCTAATGTGAATTCTGGGAATGGTGGTCCACCGCCTGCACCACATGCATGAGCCTTTTTAACACCTAAAATGACCATGAGAATCAAATATGTCTGAATGCACCTTTAATTCATGTCAGTTCCGTCTGATTTCAGCAAGATGAGTAACAGAAAAACAGAAATGATGAATCATTTCCATAGTATGGCAAACTTTTATACCAGATTCACTTCTTGATGTCCAAAGAATTTGATTCTGAGTTTCCCCCATTAAAGTCAGATTTATTCTGCTACACCACAGATGGACTGAATGCTAAAACAGAAAAGTAATATCATTCTGGCATCTGTCAGAACTTTAATAGATGTTATAATATAGGACTGACTCCCACTGTTAGTTTTTAAGCTTATAGTTCATTTAATAAAATGACAGGTTACTCAATAAATTATTTTTTTATATTTTTCTAGCTTTTAGGAAAGGTGTTTAGGCATTTAGTCAGCCCACTATTGTTTGCTGTATCAGTATTTCTGTGACCGACCTCAGGCTGTTTTGAAGAAAGCTGTGGACCCTCATTAATTAGGATTACTTACACCAGCTGGATTGACATAACGGCACCAGTCGAGCCCGACTTGGTCTTTGGGAAATGGATAAAGCCAGGATGACCCGATCATGCTAGGAAAAAAATAGAACTTTATTGATCTCACAATGGAGAAATTAACTATCTGCATTTGACCCATCCCTAAAGTCAGGTGAGGCAGAGCCTGACTTTAGCTTTTATTCTGAATTTCTAAATTCTACTATTGTAAAACAGCCCTGTGGTCTCTATAAGCCTCACCATCAGAATCTGGATGATGATGATTAACAGTGATTTAAAGGCTACAATGCTTCGGATACCAACTATCTGAGCATCTGGACCAGAACATCAGGGGAAGATGGTGCTCCCTGTGGATCCCCTTATCTGAGTGAGTTACAGTCTACAAATGTATTCCTCATGTTTTGGCAATTTTCTTTTATAAAGAAAAATAACTGTTTGTTGTTTTTACTGTTTTTGTTTCATGGTGAGGGGAACCACTTTTTACCAACCATTTATTAATATGTCAAATGTACACCTGTCTGCTAATTGTCTATACTATTTATATATAATTAAATGGTTAATTGTCTCAGTAAAATGCCTTGAGATGACATGTGTTGTGGCACTATATAAATAAACTTAATGGACAACTTAAAAGTATTTATAAAGCAATATTAAAAAAAAAGAAGAAAATTAAGCTGGTGCGACCAACTGGATCCCTGGGACAGTTGCAATATGTCATAAATCCATTATTTTTCACAAATCAAGTTTTCTGAGAATTGGTATTGTTTCTAAAACTATATTTAAAAAAAATGCATTTTGGCTCTAAAGTGCACATCCACAGACCTCTCATATAAAACTATTCAATTTTAGATTGTTTTAAAATACTACTTTTATTCAACATCTTAAAATTAAGAAGGAAAACCCAACTTAAGACATAACACAAAAGCTATTTTTGAAACAACAGATTTTTCTTTTTTAGATTAAAAAGAACAGACAAGTTAAATATGTATTTAAGTTTAATTTAATATACTATATTTTTTTTATGGAAATCCAAATTATAATAATCTGAAAACAGATGTTGCTAAACACACCATGCTTTAAGTTTAAAGGGAAGTATTGGCCTAGTGGTTATGGCATGGAGCTTGGAATCCTGAGGTTCTGAGTTTGAGCCCCACTCCCACAGCCATCAATTCTGGCTCTCTGAGCAAGACCCTTATCCCCCGATTGCTCCCAGGATGCCCTACGATGGCAGCCCACTGCTCCACAAGGGGATGGGTTAAATGCAAATGTAAATTTCTGCAATGTGAGATGAATAAAGTTAAATTATTTATTATTCTAACCATGTTAGTTTGAAGTAAACTAAACAATGACTCAATCGAACTAAGCTGCAACTAATTAACATAAACTGTACAGGATGTCAGAAATAAACCACATTAAAAAAATAACTTTTACACCTCAAAAACCTTTTCTTTTTCAATAAATTTAGAGGATGAGCTTTAATGCATCTTCTGTCCTGCTATCAGAGATTTTCAGAGCCATGAAATCATCAGCTGAAATGTTCAAAAGACTTTTGAAGACATAGTGATCAACTGCAAATGATTACCTTATGCTGAGTTCATACGGTCTGGCCCTCAGAGCTTATTATGGGCTTATGTTTAATTGTTATGTTGTTTTTTGACAGATGATCTTATCCAAAGCAAATTACAATTTATATAATAGGTGACAGAGTGGGGCTGCTCAGTGGAGCAGTGGGCAGCACTGCTGCCTTGCAGCAAGAAGGTTCGATTTGTGGCCCGGGGTCTTTCTGCATGGACTTTGCATGTTCTCCCTGAGCATGCGTGGGTTCTCTCTGGGTACTCTGGCTTCCTCCCACAGTCCAAAAAACATGACTGTTAGGTTAATTGGCTGCATGAATGGTTGTGTGCATGAATGGTTGTTTGTCCTGTTTGTCTCTGTGTTGCCCTGCGATGGACTGGCGACCTGTCCAGGGTGTACCCCACCTCTTGCCCATTGAAATCTAGAGATAGGCACCAGCACCCCTCGTAAAGAAAATGGATGTCTGGTGACAGAGTAGAAAGAGAGCAAACAGATTGCAGTAGAGGGTTGAGTTGTGTGGGGTAAGAAAGCTGTCACGGTCTGCAAGAGTTTTTTAAAGACATAGACATGCCTCTGTTCTGGAGTTCTGTGGGTTTACAGAGTTACATTTTAAGTGTTTTGATTCTCTTGAGTGGGCTGTAGGCTTTGCTAGCAAATCCTTGATGACTGGAGGGATTGAATCATGTAAAGAGATGGGAGCTGTTCAATGAAGTGCTTTGCTGTGCAATGAAACTTGAATTTGATGCAATAGACCAGAGGCTACCTGTGGGACCATCTGCAGAGCTTTCCAGGACATGGAAGCATAGATGTAGTTAAGGGTGGATATGACCATGGACTGCACCTGGAGCTCAGTGGTATTTTGTCTTTAGCACAGCCTTGTCTCTCAATGGTCGATTTTACACCTATGAGGTAATTTTATGCCATGTTGAGTCAACATGGAATTGCTTGCTTAAACTTTGTTGATGTTCGTATATATCTGTTGTTTACAAAGACATGTCTCTGGACCGAAATCAAATCCGTCACATTCAATGCTCCCTCTGCCACATTCCAGGTTACGTGTTCCTAATATGGACACAAGTTCATCCAGTCTGCTCAAGAATGTATATTAGACAAAGAAGTAGGGATTTACAAGGAGCACTTTGCTTAAACATTCCCAAATGTTAATTGTGATTATCAGTCAGCAAAGGTTTATTGTGTAGACTTCAATCAGAGAGTCTTGTTTAAACTAGAAAATAAGATGTAATGAAGGATTTCTTCTTTTTTCCTCCACTAACTGGATCTTCTAAATGAACACCATCTTAGAAACGTGTTCAGATATATTTTTTATTATTATATTGTGAAGTTTTACTATCTACCATATACGTTTCTGACAAAAGCATTTGTCAGAAAATCTGGGGAGAAAAAATACTTTACAAAATATTTATAAAATGTTCCACATTAAAACCAAAAATTTCTAAGTCTTTTATCTGGATTTTTATGAATATGAAGTCATACATAACTGAAACCTCTGAGGTCTTCACAGAACAGCTGGATTAAATTGCACACAGGTTGACTCTGGGTTGTCTCATGGGTCAGTGAATAGAGAAGACTAAACAATTGTGCATTCTTTGAAAGCGGAGTACAATTTTCCTTCACAACAATACAACACTTTGTTTACTTCGTTTAGTATAAATCCCAAACTTTGAATCTGAGGTTGCAAAATGTGAAGTGGAAAGAGTATTGCTCAGGGCACTGAAATCTGTAGGTCAGACAAATGTCTTAAACTTAATATTTTGGTAACACCGTCATCTTTTACGACAGTCAATGCAATTTTCTGGTCTCTGAAATGTATTCCTACAACTCAAACAACTTTCTTCTGTTAAGATTACATTTTAGTCTTACATTTTAAATGATGCAAACATCTGTTGCTGCTCTTTCGGAGCTTTTCGTCATTCTTTGTGATGCTATTAAATAAAAATTGGGGGTAACAGCAGGGTGTCTGTATTTACTTTGGGCTGAGTCATCATGGTTTCTTTACCAAAGAAGGAGATGAGTGAGGCTGGAAGTGAAGAGGGACTTATGTGTCAAGTGAGAAAATTACTCAATTTTCTTAAATAGTTGTAAACAGCTGAAGATCTGCCAAGATAAATCATGTAGCAGCTGAATATTACTTCAGAGCAGAGCTGTGACTGTTGAGTCTTGTTGCTCTCATCTATGCAGAAACATTTCTGACCACTTTTCTCCAGTTTCCGTTTGTGCAAAGCCAATGAGAACCAACTAAGAGTGCCTGTAGATTCCTGGTTGAGATCATTGTTTATTAGTGTTTCTAGAGTTTTTTTTC